GTAAGTTAGCCTTAAATTGTGAGTTTTGGGTGAACTTCAAAGACCATAAATTTCAACACAGGATGAGTTAGGTGGCCTAAAAGGTATAAAATGAAAGATCTCTAAGTCCTCTTTCCAACTCCACCGAGTTTGCTAAATTTTGAGTTTGGATGTGGGAGATATGCCCGTTTAAGTTTAACTTGTTCGATTAAGAAAATTCATTCGAATTAAGGAGAGGTAGTTTGGTCTTTTCCTTACCCCCACTAGCCTAACTCATTTTAGTAATATTTTAGGGGTCTAAACTGACTTAGATCAATTTTCACAATTGAAAATCACGCTTAGGGTTTTGAGAGGAGTTCAAGAAGAGGAAACAAGGAGGAGTTCAAGTGTTCGCCAAGATTTCTTACGAATCGAGGATTTGTTTTCACCAAATTAGGGTATGTAAGTTTTCATAGTGTTGGGTTCGTTCACCCACATGCCAATCATGTGATTTTCATCCATAATTTCGTTCTTGAGGTTGAATGATATGAGTTTTTGAGGTTTTGTGCTTTATTCTTTGATAATGGAGTTTTGTTGAGTTCTTAAGGTGAGGTTCTTGTTTATGAGCATTGTTCTTGAGGGATTTCGAGTAGATTTTCATGAAATTGTGTTGGATAAATGAATCTAAGAAAATTTGGAAGATACCACTCGATTCTAGGTGAATTAGGGCCAGAAATCAAAGAGAAAAATTCGTCGAGTTTTCTGGGAGGGGCTTGGGAAGACGTTCCATCGATGCGCCGGGGGGGGGGGGGGTGGGGAAGCCGTCCCCGCGGGGCGGGGGGGGGGGGGGGTTGGTGCTTTGCGTCGCGTCACGTCGCACCATCAGTGAGCTTGAAATGGTGCTCTGTAGTTTAGGGGCTAGCGCCCCGCGCCACTCAGTGCGCTAAGGTCTCCCCTCCCCTCCGTCCTTTTCCATCGTTCGTCCCGTCTGAGTTCTTTTAAAAAGTATCTTCACTTTCTTCCTGATTATAAAACTACATCTAATCATCAAGAGATTCTTTATATCATGAATCATAACTCTTGAATTCACATTTCAAATTCAAGAAAAGATTAAGAGTCAAGTTTGAGATAGCCTTTCAAGTCTTTTTTAGAAGCCTTTTACAATCTTTTAAAACTTGTTTCAAGACTTGAGTACTTGAGTATGAGGATGAGGAGAGTTGAGTTTCATTTTCAAAATTAATATATGGGAACTAAGTAATCCCAAGAGTAAATGTGTTTACATTTAAATGAGAGGAAACTTCGATTTCCAAATGAGTTCATGAGGTGTTTTGAGCACTATCTCTTTTAAGATAACCTTTTGAGTAATAATCTCAAAGCTTGAGGATGGAGAAATATTTTTAAACATATGAGCATGAGTTATATTATTGGGATTAGTATTGAGCACTGATATGGGGACGAGTTCAGACAACTCAAAGTCCTCATAAACCATGTATGCCAACGTGGGTAAAGGGTCATACTTTTTAGATGATTCTTTATTGCTTTTTATCATAGCTTAGTGGATCCACTTAGTTGAGGATGTCTTATGCTCCGACAAGGTATAGGACAGTTCTGACAGCGTGGGAAAGACATTGTATCATCACATAGCTCATAGTGATGGTTGTCGGTTAGAAAATCTCTCAAATAAGAGTAAAAGAGTTATTATTGTATTTTTAAATACATTGAGATATTATCTACTGTTTTAAAAACTTTCTTTATAATTTATCTTTCTTTTTGTTTTTATATTGAAATGAGTTGAGTACTTCTTAGTTTGAGTATCCTTAAGTTGAGTTGAGTCGAGACGAGGTGAGTATGTTCTTTCTTTTTTACAGTTCAAGCTTATGTTTGTGCTTTAGAGTTCCTCTTACATGCTCGTACATTCCATGTACTGACGTCATTTGGCCTGCATCTTTCATTATGCAAATAAAGGTAAACAGGGTCATCAACAGACGCTTCATTGATACCACCTGTAGTTCGAATTAGCTTTGGTGAGCCTCCTTGCTTTCGAAGGATTCCATTTACTTTTTGGTTTTGTTAGGATGTCGTGGGTATTGTCCCGACTTTCATCTTTGTCATTTAGAGGCTTCATAGATAGACAGTAGTAGTTGAAGAGTCTTTTCTCATTCCCTTGTTGATGTTTTAAAGACTGTGAGTTGAACACTTATGTTCATTTGAGTATTGAGTAAACTATTTTATTTTTGATATCTTATGAGTTGAGCTTGTTTTGAGATTTCTTTTGTTGAGTAAGTCCGTTGAGTATTGAGTCGGGCCAAGGGTTCACTTGGGGCCAGCAATGATTCTCGAGTGCCGACCACGTTCAGGGTGTAGGCTCGGGGTGTGACATAGTCTCTCTTCCTTCGTGACATAGAAATAAAATCGTGAACACTCTACCCATGCCTCAAACCCACTTGTAGGATTTAATTGGATATGCTCTTGTTGTTGATTTATTTATATAGTTTAGCTGGTATATTGATCAATATAGTGTAAATAAAATTTTAGACAATCAGATTATTTCAACAAATAAAAGTATGATAATATTAATTTATTTCATAAAGTGGGTATTTAAGTTTAACTCGGATACGTATAGATACAAGGTGAACCAAAATATGTTCCAACAATATAATTTAAAGATAAATTCTATCATTTAAATCTCAAATATTAGTCTTCCAAAATTTGGAACCAATTAATTCAAGTAACTCAAATGTCTTCAGATTTCATACTTTTACACAATTTCCAATATTATTTCTGTGGTTGGCAGTACATATAGGTAATTACTAGTAATTGGCAAGTTTATATTGTGTTAGGAATAAAAGAACATCATGAAGCTGTGCCCGCTGTGGCCTGCGTATATTACAAGTCATCAGCATCACCTGAACAAGCTACCATTTGATTGCACCATTTGCCTATGATTTTTTTTTAAATATGTTACTCCATTTGTCTCAATTTATGCACATATTCAAAATAAATCGTTGAAATACTTAAATTTAAATATAAAGTTAGGTATAAAAATTTTAAAATAAAATTTATATATTTAAAATTTAGACAAAACTATTATATGTCAACATAGGTAATGATTTAAAAATTACGAAGAAAATTGTTCAACTCCTTAAACAGTAGATATCTTCACATAAAAGTTAATTAGAGCGGAAAGAGTATCATCTTTTTATTATTTTATATATACTACGAATGATTTTATGATAATAATATCATGACATGTTTAAAAGTAACATCTTCAAATATCTTTTTTACTTTTTAAGTTTGAGTTAAAGATCAAAAACACATCTAAATTATCCCAATTTTTTTTTAAATTTTGAGAGTGTGAGTTTCCTACATAAACTATCACCCAGTGTTTAGCAAAATACATATCGACTAACACTCTCTTTTTTGCTTAAAAATTCTTGCACATGTATGGAAAAGTCATTCCATTGTGATTTGTGGCAAACCTAAATAAATAATATTAGGATTTAGGTAAAAAGTTAAGGTTAGAGGTTAAAAATTATTACCCTATAAATTGTTTATTCCTCACCACAATATCCGACATCTTCTTCTTCACCTTCTTAGCCTTGGCCTCGTATTAGTCATGGAGTCGATATCCCCCACTTGGGAAGGGTTCACAATTTTAAAGAAATCAATTAAAAAAAAATATTTAAATAAGTAAATAAATAAATGTGTCATCTAATAGAGTCGTTTTATATGTCAGGCGAAAACTCTATGGTTAAACATGCCTAGAATAGTGTTTGTAAACATATATTTGGTCTAGTTAGCGTCTAGGTGTATTTCACACTCCTAATAGTTCAGATAGAAAACTCAAAAAACTAAAATAGTTTAGATATGTTTTTTACCCTCGACTCTTCAAAAATTTTGTGAAATAAAATTTTCATCACATAAATTGAAACAAAAAAAATTTACCTAAGATAAAATATTTGTTACGGCCAAACACATATTTCAATTCATCACTATTTACAAATAAAAAAGACAAATTTATATCCAAACGCAATCAACTTTGAAAGACATGCTTTCAACTTCACTCAAATTATGTTGAAAAGCTTACACAATATCCAAGCTATTGGTCGACAACTTTTAACAGGCTATACATATATTTTTTACTTTACGGTATTCCAACCATCGGATGATCTTTTTCTTGTTCTACTAGTATCATTATTAATTACCTATAGCAACTGATCCTATCTTAGTCAGAAGGTAAAATACGCACACTAGCTAAAAAAAATCACTGAATTTTCCATCGAAAAATGTTTCGTCACTGCATCAAAAATAATCTTTAGCGACAATTAATTAGTAATAATAATTTAATTATTATTATATATATATATATTTATATTTAGCGGCAATTAGCACTCTTTGTATAAGTCCCTAAAGCCTTTAGCGACAATTTATCTATGGACAATTAACTAATACTAAAGAATTTAGCACTTTTTATTAATGTCTATATTTATTGCCGCTAAAAGTTGTTTTTATTGTAGTGAATAGCTATTTTCATATATATATTTGATTGAATCAGTGAGGAAAAAATAGTAGTAATATTTTCATATGAATAATTAGGAAGTAGTTTTCCATTATTTTTAGTGAGAGTATGTTTTCCAACGTGCATTTTTCAGTGAGTTCATTCATTGAGAAATAATGGTAAAATCATGTTAAATAACACAAATTTCTCACCGTATTGGAAAAAATGTTTGTTTCTAGTTGTGAGAAGACGAGTCCAATTAATGACAGTACTGTACCCAATAGAGGATGTTACTGTTGCATGTTGCTAATTTGATCTAATCTGCACTTCTGCATGTGGTGAAGTACATAATAGTACAAGTCATCATAAAATTCAGCAAATGCACATGATTTTAATTTCAATGTGGCTTGGGTAAATTAAGTTCTATTAAACATACAGAACAAATTAAAGATGCCCAAGTCGTAGTTCTAGCTCCATCTTAATTACAAAGTGAATACCAAAATGCAACCAAAAAGAAACCATTCGTACATATTCATATTGTAAACTATTTCAAGCACTTGGGTTTGGGGATCTTTTGAACCTGTAAAACGTTATTCCCACAACCATTTCCCTTAATCAACTTGAATCGACAAGTCTGACCATTGGCTATTTTGTTAAGAGTTCGGAATTCAGCCCATCCTCTTTTCATGTAAACCCTTTGCCGAGTATGCACTATGTCCACTAATTTCCACTCGTTGCCTTCTCCATTTACCAGTCTCATTTTCTTCATCTTAGTTATGCCCGTCCATATAGCAAAGCTCTTCGGGATGGTCTAAAACATAAATTCATGACAAAACATGTTTGATTTTAAGTGAAATTAAGTAATTAAACGCATTATTAATCTAAGAAAAAAGAACATAATGTGTTTAATCAACCTTACCATAAAAATTGAATGTGTCTTTCTTACAACCATTTCAAAGTATGGATCTTTGTTCTTTATGTTGATCACACTGAATCTGCTCGTCTTTGGAGCATTTTCTTCATTTCCACCCTCAGCTTCTTCCTCTTCTACAACGCGTGTAAAATGTAAAGAATTTTTACACAATATAACTTTCCTATTTTCGAGATTACTAGTAACACTTACCTGACGATTCTTTTTGCTCCATTTTCATTTTCTTCAATTTTCTAGCGATTCCAACGTCATGTTCCTCTTCCGAAGAACTGCTTAGTTCCTGAAATACTCCTCTGCCACAAGAGTTTTTGAAACATTTCTGAGTGTAAGGCAGGATATGGAACGTTGATTTATCGATGAGAAAAAAGATCAAAATGTCCCCTAGCTCCAATTTATGATGCACCACAAATTGTGGCCAATCTCCTTCACATATGAAATAGTTGGATTTTTCTCTCACTATCTTTGTTTCCCACGACATTCCAACTACATTTGTTTTCAATAAGCAAGTCTTGGATAGTATCTTCTTGTTTACTTTGATGAAAATAGGCGGCATTAGCTTATAAGGAAAAAAACAAATTATCAAGTTTATGAAAATAGACATATATCACCATAGAAGAAAATAATGAAAGGAAAAATTAGTATAGTAGACTTACTATTTTATCCATGAAACCTTGTTTGAATAATAGTTTGCAAAAAGATGGATGCTTGTCTGGATCCACTAGCATTTTGAGATCGATTGCAATAACTAGCTACTGCTTGAATATCAAGGAAAATGGTAGTACTAGTGCAATCTTATACTATCATAATACAAGGGTAATATATATATATATATATATGAACGATGGCTCGCTGTTATTATGTGTGCTTTGACCAATAGCAATTATGCTTTTACTATTTGCATTTTGCATGTCCAGTAGTTAGGAGTGGGTAAACGAGCTGATAGAGTTGAATATGAGTTAAAGAAAAATGGATAAAATACTTGACTTAACTTGTATTTTAATTAAATGAGTAATTACGAGTTACCCAATGGCCCTTATCACTTCTTTTTTTATGAATGAATATATTTTATCCATTTAACTAGTAACAACCACTTTTAAATAGTAATATGAGTATTATTCATTTTTTACCCATTTTAAATGGGTTGGGTACCCACAGGAATGGCTCAATGTCTTTTAAAATGAGGCATACGCCTTAGGCCTCCAAAATCGAAGGGCCTAATTTTTTAGTAATAATAAAATTATTGTAAGCCTTTTTTAACAGAAAAAATATTTTAATTTATTTGTCTTTTTTTTAGTTTGTTTTGAAACATTAAAGAATGTTTCTTTTTTATGAATCAATTTTTAAATTTAACTTCCACGTGATATATGTTTAAGACCACAAGATCAATATATATATATATATATATATATATATATATATATATATATATATATATCTTTAGTTTAAGATCATAAAAAAGCCCTTTTATTAAAAATAAAGAAATAACTTCTCGGTGTATTTCACACTCCTTAATAGTATAGTTCAGGTAGGAAACTCAAAAAACTAGTATAGTTTAGATATGTTTTTTACCCTTAACTTTTCAAATTTTTTGTGAAATAAAATTTTCATCTCATAAATTGAAACAAAAAAAAATTACGAAAGATAAAATATTTGTTACGGCCAAACACATATTTCAATTCATTACTATTTACAAAAAAAAAAAGACAAATTACATATTTCAATTCATTACTATTTACAAATAAAAAAGACAAATTTATATCAAAACACAATCAACTTTGAAAGACGTGTTTTCAACTTCACTCAAATTATGTTTAAAAGTTTACACAATATTCAAGTGCTTTAAGACTGCTGCTAGCTACTCTATTTATGCTAGATGATGTTAGCCTGTGCTATCACAGGCCCAATACTGTAGAAGATTAGAGATAATTTGTTTTATCAAACTTTATTTCGACATAAAATTGAAGAGAAGAAATTTGTGTTGTTATGACAATATTTACATATATTTGGGAACAAAACATGTTTATAATTGCCACGTGATATATTTTTACATCCATGGGAGCATTATACATGCTGAAGGGTAGACATTTCTTTACATATATGAGAGTATTTGTACCAACTATTTATACATTGACAAAAAACGGACAAGTTGTCTTTGGAATTAACTCGTAGTTGTCTCTAGTCAGAAACTATCTCTAGCCAAAACACCTGTAAAATGAAATTATCAACCGTCAGTGTCCTATACAAACAAACAAATGCAAACCTGACTCACTAATATAGTTCTTGTCAATTTCATTTACTAAAATGGAAAACAAACAAAATTTATTAACAATAATCTAACTATCTATATAAATGCAACCATTTTGATGTGTGATAACTCCATGAATGGAGATTAAACCTTGGAGAATTTACAGAGCATTTGAGAGAAGAAGAAGGAAGAAGATTGTATTAATGTCTTAATACAGTGAATCTGTACATACATGCTTATATATACTACTCTTACAATGAATGAATACAAAATATCTCTAACAAACTCTGTAACTAACTATTGCCATGTCATCAGCTGGTAACTAACTCTTGGAATCTTCTAACTAACATAAGCTTTGTTATTTCTGCATTTGCTAACACTCCCCCTCAAGCTTATGGTTGAAATATATTTTTCATTCCAAGATTGCTTAGTAGAAGATGATGTTGTCCTTGTCCAAGACTCTTTGTGAGTAGATCAGCAAGTTGATGCTTGGTGTTAATATATTCTGTCTACAGTACTCCTTGACAAATTCTTTCTCTTACAAAGTGACAGTCTATGTCTATGTGTTTTGTACGCTCATGGAAGATAGGATTAGCTGCTATTTGTATTGCTGCTTTGCTATCACATACCATTTTTACTGGTACTGTTATATTGACTCCCAGCTCTTTGTATAAGCCTATCAACCAGGTTATTTCAGCTGCACATGTGGCCATGCTTCTGAATTCTGCCTCAGCTGAGCTTCTTGACACAGTCCCTTGCTTCTTAGACTTCCATGATATTAATCCTCCTCCAAACTTCACTAAATACCCTGTAACTGATTTTCTTGTTTCAAGACATGCC